GTGCTGAACTCCGACGCACTCTCTTTTTCGGGGGCGGCTGTGGCAGTGGCCCCGACTGTGCTGGTTGCGTCGGGTTCGGCGTCTTCGGCTTTCGCGGGGACTACGAAAACCACGGAGTCTACTACAGCTTCATCCACTACTACCACGGGGTCGGGATCAGCTTCAACGGCTTTCGCAGGGACTATGAAAACAACGGAGTCTACAGCTTCATCCAGTACTACCACGGGGTCCAAGTCTTTGGCTTTCGCGCCGACCACGAAAACGACGGAGTCTACAGCTACATCCAGTACTACCACGGGGTCTTTGTCGTATGTCGATGTACGTCGAGGGGATCGCATCCATCAGTTGGAGGACTATGCCGACAGTCTCTTGGTTCAGGACGTGATCAATTACCAGTCAGCCGAGGATGTCATCACTAGGATTCCGATGGGCAGGAAGATGAGAAATGTCATGAAGCCCCAGGGAAAGCAGTCTGGCATAGTCACGTTTGGACTGTTCGCGCATGGAGCCATGAATGGGGTCACTCGCTCGACTCAGGAAATGCCGCAGGTGTGCCGCTTCATCAACAGATGGATCAAGTCGCTGGCCCCTTCAGAGTTCACATGGTCTTCGGTCACCATCGGTGTACAGACAACGGCCGATGTACACATGGACGCTCACAACGATGGTCGCTCGAAGAACATGTCGGTGACCTTGGGCAAGTTTTCCCAAGGAGAGCTTTGGCTCCAACGTGAGCGAGATGCCCCGAGGTGCGCGAAAAAGACAGTGTGGAGGACTCTTCGAGGGCAGCGTGTTCCCGGGGAGTTGGTTTCGACTCGCCATAAGCCATGCTTCTTCAGTCCCAAGCGTTATCATGCGACCACCGAGTGGACCGGTTTCCGCATTTCGGTCACTGCCTTCACAGCGAGATCCGTTACGGAGTTGAGTCACACTACTCGTGAGCAGCTTGAGGGTCTCGGTTTTCGGCTTCCTTCATCCAGCAGTTCACCCAGGCAGTTCGTCATGAGTGGAGGTGAAGAGGAGTCCAAGTCTGATTGCGAGTGTGTGCACGACTATGAGACGGTGTTCGAGTGCGACAGAACAACTTCTCCTCCTCGGGCAGCCAGCATGCTCAAGCGAATGCTCAAGAGAGCGGCCGTTTGGCTTTCCAATTCGAACAGCGCTGCAGCCCACCGCCATGGCCAGTTTGCTTGCTCAAGCGGAGAAGATGGTGGCCCAGGAAGCCGCCGACCTCACGGAAGGACGGCGCATGGGCGTGAAGAAGTGCCAGGCGGCATGGCGCAGGCTGACAATGGCACTGGTGGCTCTCCTCTCGACGGCTCGCAGCCAGATGGTGGTGGACCACTTGATGCAACGCCAGCAAGAGGAGCTGGAACCGGAGCGGACGGAGAAGCCGTTGCCCAACGACCGGATCAAGAAGAAAACCAATGTGGACATGGCAATGGGCATCGGCAAGCCGCTTCGGAAATCCGACGTGCACAAGGAGTTCCCCATGAAGGTGACCGAGTGCAACCACCCGGCGGACGCTCTACGCTGCCGGGGAAATCAGGCGATGAAATGGTGGGTTTGCACGAGGTGCGGTTCACGATGGGACAGGCCGGGGGAGAAGACGAACTCGGGGAGCCCAGCGACCTCGTCCACGGCAACTTCGCGAGTGCAGGTGGACGAGAAGGCACCCAAACTGGTCAGTGTCCGAGGCCAGGAGTTCCCCCACTTTCTTCCAGCACCCCGCGGCCGTCCACAACAGGGAGCTCGAGAAGTGACCTTGTCTCAGACGGGGGCGCCGAAGACCAACAAGGAGTCCGCAGCGAGCTCGAGCACTGGTCCTATGCCTTTTTCCACGGCGCCACCTACAAAGACTCGGGCGCGGATGACACCTCACGGAGTTCGAGAAGTTCGCCGATCGAAGACACCCACCAGGACGGGAGGCCCGGAGACCTACGAGTTGAACACCGACCACGAGGACTGGGCCGACGCGGAGATGATCAACCCCAACAACGCCGAGCCGAACGACGGGCAGTGATTGGGGCGGAGAGCCTGAAGAGAAGCCCCACAGAGGAGCCTCGGAAATTGGCCGATAAGCTCAAGGCGAGGGGCTGGTTGCTGAAGTCCATCTTGGTGATGCTCACTTTGGTGGAGACGGAAAACGCTGTGCCCGTGCTGGGCACCATGTTCGGTGAGAAGCGGGACCAGCTTTGGTGGCATCAGGAGGACCAAAGCTGGGAGAGCCGGCCGCCGTCCGTCTTCCCTGCGGTTGAATGTCAGGTGTTCCCTCGGCAGCAAGTGCGCAAGGACTGGTTGGCGGACAATGAGGGCGTGGTCGTCTACATGAACCAGGCCGAGCGGAAGTCTGTGGCCTCAGCGTGGATGTTGTCCACGGTCGACCCGGCCGAGATCAACTCACCTCCCCGCGTACTACAGCGAGCCAAAAAGCAGGGCAAGGACAGTGTCATGGCTTTGGACTTGGCTACTGGCTGGGACTTTGAACGTGACGGTGATCGACGAGCCGCTCACCAGCTACTGACACGACATCGCCCAGGGATGCTTTCCTTGGCGATGGCTCCGGACATCGACGAGCAGGCCACCGACTTCAATGTGGACCTCGCCCGTCAACAAATGGAGCATGGCCGGGGTTTTATCATGGAGTGTCCGACAGCTGCACCTCCGTGGCGCAGACAGTCGTTAAAGGAGTTGAAAGAGCACCCCGCAGTGTTCTCGGTCGTCCTCGACTTCGCGCGCCTTGGAGTGGGAGATGGACAGCTAGGAGCACGGGTATGTCCGACGGTGGCAATGACCAATGTGCCGGAGCTGTTTCGATCAGTTCGGCGGCGTTTCGCTCACTTGCCTCGACAGCCCGTGCATGCCACCGACTACGAGATGACCAAGGTCCGAAACTATGTCAGCGTCTTCAGCAGCCTCCTCAACCAGGGTCTTCGCAAGCATCTGAGGACCCAGCATGTTTCTACAGACCATGCCAGCCAACGCTGGGCATGGCAAGGCATTCATTTAGTGTGCCGTCACTTTATGCCCCGACAGCACCTATGCCTTCCTGAGGAATGCCCTTTCGACATATCGCGCGTCAATTTCTCGGGCCGTCGAGTTACTCGAATGGACCCGATTGGAGGCCAAACCAAGGTCATCGAAGACGACTGGCCTTCACAACGCTCGAGGTCTACGGCAATTTCGTGGACCGGCACCTCGATCTTTCACACGGTGCCCGAGATCATTTTGCCGACTGCGCTCGCTCACGTGGCCACCACTTTGGCCAAGAGTGCGGCGCATGATTTTTGCACTTTTCAGTCTGAACAACATGAACTACAAGCTGAGCTCGCGGTGTTTCCTTCGCACAGAGTTTTGGAAGGGCGGCATGAATTGACCTCGGCTCCGGCGTCTGCTGCGTCTGCTTCGGCGAGACCTTCGGCAGACCCCCAGAGCAGCGAGTTCGACTGGGATGACTTTTGTCGTGACATCTCGCACGAGGAAGCGCGCTTCATCACTGGAGGCGCCCCCTTCGCCCGTGACGAAGCCCAGGGTACGAAGGAAACAGTAGCTACGAGAACAGAAGAGGAAGCTCGAGTCGCCAAGGAGCTTCGAGAGTTGGTGATCGATCCCTCGGCGATCCCGACAGGCGACCGTTCCGTGATGGCCCCGGACACTCGCCGAGAAGTTTACCGTTTACACCGCAACTTAGGTCACCCAGACAAGCGGACCTTTCTTCGGGCTATGAGGCACGCGGGAGTTAAGGTCGAGGTGCTCCAGTACATCAAGGACGAGTTCAGTTGCCCGATCTGCTCGAGGAGGCAGCGACCGTCTTCTCACCGGCCCGGGCACTTGAGTCGCGAGATGTCGTTCAACGAGGTTGTGGGCATCGACTTGATTTTCTTCCGCAAGCTCGTCCTCCTCAACTGCTTGTGCTGGGGAACTGGCTACCAATGGGTAGAGCCCGTGGCTGACAAGAGAGCCGAAACAGTGACTGCGGCTCTGCTGTCGTCGTGGTTTGGACACTACGGCACTCCCAAGCTCGTGGTGGCCGACCAAGGAGGCGAGTTCGCTGGAAAGTTCTTCGTGGAGACTCTGTCGGACGCTGGAGTGATTGTCCACTTCATCGACGTGCGCAGCCCTTGGCAAAACGGAAGGACGGAGAAAGCCGGGGGCCTGTTCAAGGACAAGCTCGCCACTGTCATCGACGAGGCGGGTGTGGTCGATGGTCATGAAATGAGAATGGCTATCTCCGAAACAGTGTGGACTCGCAACCAACACTACGACCGCAGCGGGTTCACCCCGCACCAGAGAGTGTTTGGGAGCACTCCTCGCGTCCCCGCATCTCTCCTCACGGACGACGCCATCGACACCAACCTGCTGCTCGACGGCGCCTCGGATGCTTGGCATCGCAGCTTGGAGATCAGGGCTGCTGCTCGCAAGGCATGGATGGAATGCCAAGACAGGGCGGCGGTGCAACGAGCCGCTCGGGCCAACACTCGGACCGCGGACGACAAGTCGCTCCAGGCCGGCCACACGGTGTTTGTGTGGCGAGAAACTCCAGACTTCAAAGGCTGGGCCGGTCCAGGGGTTATCGTCGCCGAGAGCACTAATGGACGATCCTTGTGGGTGAGCCTAAGAGGCTACTTGATCAAAGCCTCACGAGAACAAGTTCGTCAGGCCACCCCCGAGGAGCACTTAGGAGCAGAGCTCATCAAGGTGATCTCCAAAGACATGCTGGAGGGCCTCGAGGCGGGCACGCTTCGGAACTTCCGGGACATCGAAGGCGAGGGCATCCCCAACCAAGAGTTTGACGATTCCGCAGACAAAGCCTCTCGCAAACGCCCGCTCGAGACGATTGACGAGGATATGGAGGAGTACGTGCCCTCTCCTGTAGAGGAGACAGCCGACGAGCCAGATGAAGTGCCTCCTCCAGACCCTGAGCCAATGCCCAGGGCCGAGACCGAAAGCACCGCGCTTCCTTCAGAGGCGATGGGAGTGTCA